CATTTTTTCATCATGTACTCATGTTGATAGTACGAAAAATAAATAAAAATCACACATTTTCCTAATACGAATTTGGAATTGTCTTCTTTAAAATTTAAACTTTTAATGATACCAAAACCAGCCATATACAAATAGATTTTATTACAAGTTCATACATACTATAATGTGAAAAGAGTTTTCTCCAACTTAATATATACGTAGTTTATGGTACAGTTAAAAAACTCACCATTCAATTTATAAACAACACCATAACTCTCACCAAAAATAAATAGTAACATGAGAATATTCAACATTTTACTTGACATGTTTCGAAGACGCCTATGGCATGTCGAGTGTAGTATTGAAATGATACGAGTCTATTGTGCATCTTGGCTTGAAGATTTATTTTAGACAGTCTTCTTATTTTGTATTAATTATATTTTTAAGTTCCGTATGTGCCAAGAAAACAGTACAAAAGCCAACTAAAGCCGTGAGATCGTATGCCCCATATTTACATTCTTATTTCATTGACTTCGAAGGCAGTACGTGGCCACTTGATGGTGAGAGGTTACCAACGTTCACGAACGACTTCGCGAATGAGTGAAGCAATCCAGGAACGGAAATCAAAGGCAGTGTATGAACACGTTGTTCAATAATCATAATGAATTATGCGGATGCTCTGCCACTTCTACTAGGTCTATTAGTAACTCTACTCACTTCACCTGTTCGTAATTTTAGTAACTGATCCTAAATAATTTAACTGTATCATTGATTGTATATATAGGTTATCCTAATCAAGCCAATATTTAATTTTAATATCTGCATCATTTGTTGTTTGCACTATTTCAGAATATCAGATCAGAGAATCCGTTGCGTCTGTCAGAGGTCAGCCCGGCATTTAGGATATGAGAAATACTATCACACCACCACAAATCTTCCACAGATACTATTTTATATTGCCTTTGTAGGAAGATCAGCATATGGCCCACCTGACAGAGAGTGGATACCGTCGCCCATGGACGTCAGCAATGCCAGGGGCACACCTAAGCCACTGTCTACCGTTAAGTAACCTCCACAAGCTTCGTTTGAAGAAGGACATGTCATAGCGCTCGGGAAACACCGTGGAGGGGAGCTCATTCCAAAGCCGTATGTACGTGGCAAATAAGATTGCTGGAAACGCACTGTGGACGAACGCAATGGCTCCAAGTAGTATGGATGAACACTACTCCTGTGGCAGGCGGTGCGGTGATAAAAACGAGATGGCGGGATCATTTCAAACAATTCCTCAGAGCACTGTGCTTAATAGTCAACACGGTAGAACGCGAGTTATTTCTATTGATTAGTAAACCCGCAGAATGTAATGTCTCAATTAGGTCAAAGTTTCGGTCCAGTTCCGAATTAGTGATTACTTTAAGNGGCTCCAAGTAGTATGGATGAACACTACTCCTGTGGCAGGCGGTGCGGTGATAAAAACGAGATGGCGGGATCATTTCAAACAATTCCTCAGAGCACTGTGCTTAATAGTCAACACGGTAGAACGCGAGTTATTTCTATTGATTAGTAAACCCGCAGAATGTAATGTCTCAATTAGGTCAAAGTTTCGGTCCAGTTCCGATGTAGTGATTACTTTAAGGCAATACAATCAAGCAGGGCGATTTCTGTCACAACCACAACTTTATTACATCTTTCCTCTTATTACATCTTGAAAGTAATGATTTAGCGTAAATTAGATTAAAATTATATTTACTCGTGGTAGGACCTCTGTGAGTCCGCACGGGTAGGTACCACGGCCCTGCCTATTTCTGCTGTGAAGCAGTAATGCGTTTCGGTATGAAGGGCAGGCCGGCCGTTGTAACTAAACTGAGACCTTAGAACTTATATCTCAAGGTGGGTGGCGCATTTACGTTGTAGATGTCTATGGGCTCCAGTAACCACTTAACACCAGGTGGGCTGTGAGCTCGTTCACCAATCTGAGCAATAAATAAAAAAAAAGAGTTTTTATTAAGCTGCAAACTTTTTGTTCTCACGATTGCCGAGTGCTGGCAATGTATTTTATATCTAAAAAGAAAGAAAAAAGGTTGACAAAATAAATTTGTACCCACTAAGGATCCCAGCAGAAAACTGGTATGGCAATAACTACCGTTACGATATTGTTTCGTTTTCCGATGTTCCTTTCCAATTTCCTTGTTTTTTTAAAAATCATAATCATTTCTTGACTGCTTGTCTTTTTGCGCACGTCAGTTGTTTTCCACACACATATCCTTAACGACTGGAGGGATTTTCATATTATTACGCATAGGTTAGGATTGAAAATATCCAATTCGTTAATTAAAATAATAATTTTGATTGTTTACACGCTAGTTTGCTTTTGACGGCAATAAAACTTCGGTGACTCAATTATGTAAACTTAGTTACTGTTATTCTAAAAGATCCAACAGAACCCTGAAACTAAATTATTCATTGATTTGTTCTTAAATTTTAAAGTAATTCTTAAATTTTCCTTAATAGTTATTGTGGGAATGCGTATTATAATATAATGTATACTTTAAAAACAAGTACGCGAGGGAGTGAGCTGTTCTCTGCAAGCCACGTTGTTATTGCAGCTGAGATTTTTTACAAATAAACATAATTAAATTAACCTTGCTGCGAATACAAAGAAAACAAGTAGACTGAGTTTGTTTAAATAGATTTTCCCAAGACTATTCGAGAACTGCCAGCAGACTGTATGTAAATTTTGGTTTGAACGGGTTTTGGAGGTAATAAATATAAGTTAATTAATTCTTTATTGTGTACAGAAAAAGATACATGGTGAAGTCATGCGCTCTGGTCTGAAGAGTGGGACGTCAGCTTAGAATTTACATCATATCTCATTCATGGATGCTGTCAAGTACATCTCGACTTGGCTCACGCAGCAGCTGTCAGTGCTCTAGGCACGCCGTTTCAGAATATCTCGATCCACTCTCAGGCTGGGCTGAGTTCTGAATATATCATATATTGCAAGTGTGGATTGTGTGCTTAGAGTTACGATAATTATCACGTAGCTTAAGTTCCATAACTTGCGTACAGACGTGCCCTTGCTAGAGCCGCGTGGCTTGTGAGGTTGAGCCATGCATTTGTTCCCGCTGTTCACACATCTCCTTTAGTAGCTTTAGAAGCAGTCTATATAAATTTGCGAGAGCTGAGGATAAGGTCACTGCCTACGTGAAACTGCGATTCAATAATAATCAAGCTTGGACGACACTTGGGTCTCCTTCAGAAACGGGATCGGATAAACTAGAGGGGGTTTATATGGGGGCGGTTCGCGTGGGTGAAATATTACACTTGTGTAAGTTATAACGGTATGTATGCAAGTGTAGTGTCACCTTGTTACTAAGGGACAATTTACTTTGCTTGCAGATTAAGGGGTTAGAGGCAACAGAGTATCTAAATGGGAACAGGATGTCATTCCTCTGTCACCGGTGATCCCTAAATATTTTACCTTCACGGCCTAAGGTATCGGCTGGCCAAAGAGTGTATTGTGGGAATGGTGTTGCCGCGCCTAATACGCGATGGAATGGCTGAACTGGTGTCGGGAGGGTGACCCCTGTTGAAGAGCAGGCCGTGCTGTTCGTGGGGTTGATGTTGATGCGGCACTTTCAGAAGCACTGTATTAGGTTGTTGGCTGTGATCTGGAGTTTACGATGGATGAGCTACATCTTCTTGCCCGAGTAGTAGATAATTGTATCATCGGTGAAAAGTGTTAACTGAGTCGCCAGCGTCCGAGGTAGGTATATCATTACAAACAAAACAGTAATGAGGATAGAGTGGAGCCTAGCGGGACTCCGGCCGAGATCTGACGGGGGAGAGATAGGGATGCCTCGACTCAATCTGGTAACTAACGGTTCGAGACAATATATCATTTGATAAGCACAAGTTATCTGGCACGCCCTTGTTGTACACTTGGTAAATCAAACCGTTGTACCAGACTGTCGAGAGTCTCCATGATATCAAAGAAGAGAGCTCCGGTGGGGACGGGCTTTGGTCTGTTGAGCTGAGCTAAGATGTATTCCGTGATGCGCTTATTGGATGCAAGCGTGTTTGGCGCGGAACTGTGCGTTGATGATAAGCCTTTCAAGATTACAAAGTGCTAGAAGATGTTTTCGAAGGAAATGCTCGTAAAGTTTGCCTTTGGCTGGGCGGAAGCTTGCCGGTCGGTAGCTTTTGAGTTGTTTTTTGGCTTTCTAGGCCGATAATGTCCGCTGCTTTCCACACCACGGGAAAGATGCAGTTAGTCATAGCGGCATTTAAACTGGGTGCCAGTATGGTGATCAATTGGACGGGTAAGATTTTTAATATAAGATGCCGGGGTCTTTCCGTGGTTATAAGTTTCATATCTTCTTATTTTATAGTTTTTTATCCTACGTAACTTAAGCATAAGCCTTGAGAGACCATTTTAGTGTAACCCTAAGAAGTAGGTGAACTCACGGGGCTCAAACCTGATGACATTGCTAGCACTTATACTAGCAAGAGCAGTGCTTCGCAATCTACCACCGGATCGAAAACGCGACCCACTGAAGATCCGGCGAGAAACTCAGTATGCTGTGTGGGTTAATTTACTCGTCGAGCCCTTCATCGCAAGTGACGGGTTCGACAACAACGATGACCGGTGCTTGGGGTACCCTAAAGCACCGTTAGTGAGTCGGGAGGATCTAAAATGACGTGTATTGGGCGACGTCGACTGCTTACCGACTTGGGGGCGATACGCGGTCGTCGTTGTGAGGCGAGCCGTGAATAAGGGCCGATGCGCAATTGCTCATGTGTAATTTGAAGTAAACGCGCTGTGTGCGTTAGTGCTTATACACAAGGCAGTCAGTCATATTACATCGAACAACACATTTGTTCGAAAGCGAATATCTACTGATAACTGCAGTTACGTAGAGGTTGTAGTTCGTAAATCGGAATAATTACTAACATTATAAACAGAATATTTTTATTAGTTTGAAAATTGCTTTTTATTTAGAAATAAGACCATTATAATCCATACTGTGACATTATTTATTTACTTTCAAAGTTTTCTGAAAATTCAATATCGACGCGTTGTTTCAAGGTCCTTGTGTTCCTGTTTTCAAGGACTTTGGTAACGCATGCCAGATCAAGCTACCGAGTATAAAACAAATTACACAATTTAGGTCAAAATAAATTTATCCATTGTTTCTTTGTAGGTAGGCTTCTGAGGTGGATACACGACCTCGACGAAGAGTCGCGGGAATCCACTGGGTGCGGGTAGCGTAGGTCTGGTCATCATGGTGAGTCTTGGAGGGGGAGGATTCAGTTGTACGTCCAGCAGTGGAGGTCAATAGGCTGATGATGATGATGGTCGTAATTCTTTCTATTCAAAACTTTGACTGTCTTCGCTATTTCAGCTTAATTTTCTCCTGCACCTGAGTCGTCTTAGAGGAAGATCTTAGATATAGTTTCCACACTCGGTTCATTGGTTCTTCAACCAGCAACCAGAGCGGAATGGAGAGAAGCAAAGAGACGACCAGGATGAAAATGTAGTACTGAACCTGAAATAAGAAGAATCATTTCGAACTTAGAAGCTAACTAATTTATATTTTAGTATGTTCCTAGTGTCTAGTGGGATGCTTTGTGGCTATACTATAGATTAACTCTGGGGCAGGCATCATGGTACACAAACAATAGTATGTGGTATGACGAAGATACATAGCTAAAAACAACTACATAAGTAGTCATCATTATCCTGTCCTTCTCCCAGTCACCTGGGGTCGGCGCAGCATGTTTTCTCCTTCCATACTCTTCTATCATATATCATTTCTTCGCACACTCCCCTCTTACCCATATCGTCTTTCACGCAATCCATCCATTTCTTCTTAGGTCTATCTCTTCCTCTGTATCCTTCTACATTCATAGTTAACAATCTCTTACCAACCTCATTTTCATTTCGTCTCATCACATGTCCATACCATCCCAAACACGCACTTCTCAGCTTCTCTGTCACAGGTGCCATTTTCAGACTTCNCTTCTCAGCTTCTCTGTCACAGGTGCCATTTTCAGACTTCCTCTAACATATTCATTCCGTATTCTATCCATTCTCGTTACTTCACACATCCATCGCAACATTCCCACCTCTGCTGCAGGCAATCGCCTTTCATACTATAAGTAGTATAAGGTAATTAATGAGTCACTTTAAGGGTAATCTAATTAGTTTCACTTACCATTGCCATAATCGATTGTTGGAAAGGAACGGTGGACAGTGATGCGGTGTACCGAATAATGGTCACATGGATATTGTAGGCGCAGTACGATAGTCGCGCCACGATCGACCAACAATCCCACTCGAATATTGTACGGAAGACGTCTGAAGTAAAAACATATGATGAGATAGCAAATTATTTGGGAGACTTGCGTTTTGCTACAGAATTTACGTTTTGCTCATTAGTTTCTTTGTTACACTAGGTAGTTACCGCTAACCGGTTACCGGAGCACATAGGAATTGCAACGAGAATGCCGCCACTAACCGCGAGATATGTCTCAATTGCATTGCTTGACTGGTCGAGCACCAAAGCAGAAATAGGTAGGCTGCCGGTACTCACGCAGGACACGCCACACCACAACTATATTACCATTCCATCTGGTATGGAATATATACCATCTGTTATAGCTCTAGTGATTTATAATACAAGTTAAGTTCTATCTTATACAGTCGCCAGCTTATCACAATATATAAATACAAGGTCTATTCTCAAGCAGACAAAATTCTATTCTCGGAGGTCCGTGCTGGAGGCGTGGTCTCGTCATTTGTCGAACCCGTCCTATGGTCTACGGACCGTCGAGGCGGTCCACCCGGTCGCGGAGGGGGTGGGTCGCAACCTTTTCACCTTTCGGTTGACGCAAGTGCTCACCGGCCGCAATTTTGTTTCGGCCAGTACTTGAACCGTGACGCCCGGAGGGAACCCACAGCATAGTGCCACCACTGAGACGACCACGGTGAGGAGGTCGCTGTAGATGATACATTAGCGTGCTGTTTTGGGTTCTAGGAGCAACGCGCCGCTTTCATCGCGGTCGTAGGAGAGGACGCGTCCTGGCAAGTGATGCGCGACTTCTACGAATCCATCATCTTACAGAAGGAGGCGGTGGTACGAGAGAGGGGGGGCTCTTTCTTTCACCGATTCGTAGGCCTTTGTAGGTGGCGGCCTCCCTCCTGTTAAGGTCTCGGGACAATCTGAGGAGGTCCCGCAATCAGCACTATAGCCCGCCGCCAAGGAGTAACATTGTAAGAGCGACCGGTGGGCTGTGTATCGCATCCCAACTTGGCAAACTGGTTCTGACCCAGTGTATCCCGGTATATTAGTAGCACTGCCTGCGTGGCCTGACGGGCCGCTGTACCGAAACGACTGACGTTCAGAGCCTTCGATTCGCGTCGAAGTCGACCAGGCGTCCTCGGGGTGGCGTCGCGAGTCTGGTTGTAGTATTGACTGCATGAACCCTCCTACTTTAACCGGGTTCTGACCCCAGTCAAAGCAGTCCCTTATCGACTGTAACGACATCCCGATACATATTCACGTTTACCTTAAGGAAATATTTCCTAAGGTTGTACATCTCTCGGTTATACAGATCCTTGGCATTCAACATACCGTGACCCCCACATTTCCGAGGGACATACAACCTCATCACAGATGAACGTGGATGATGCATTCTGTATGCCGTTAACAATCGCCTGACTTTTTTATTCAGCTCCAGCTCTGATTGCGTCTACCTTAATATTCCAAAGGAATATGTTAACATAGGCATTTTTTTTTGACCCAACCATTAAACGCTTGGTTCTTGTTTCGGCCTGATAAATGGCATTTTAAGACCTTTCTAAGACGACCAAAGAACCGATCTCTAAACGATTGTTTCATATCTGTGTCCACAATATTCAGCACTTCGAACATACCAAGGTACTTACTTGTAGGTTTCCGATTTACAAACAAATTTGAGGACCACACTATGGTTAAGTTATAAGCACTCTGAGTTTACAACTTTACCTCTCTGTACATCTATGAACGCACATTTATCAACACCAATTATTTATTATTATTTGATCTAATGTATGGGCGATACCTGCCATTATTGTTTTCTTTACATGGGCAATATACCGTAGTTATATCAATTATTGAACACCCCTTTAAACTTCCAATATGAAGGAGTGCACGTCACGTCGTGGCTTATGTAATTAGGTAGGACGTGAGTTCATTTCCTCCTTACTACATCTATTGGTTAGTAAATTTAATATTCCATTGATAATAGAGCAACTATCAGACGTTATTAACATAAGAAAGCCATACGTACTTTCAAGTTTCATGATCATTGCGCATATAAGTACTGTGAACAGTAATCCAAAAACAGGTTTCGCAGTTGCAGCGTACATTGTTCTCAACATGACTGAAGACCTTGGCGCGTCCATGTAGAAATACGAGGCCATGACCATTATGCCAGAACCCAGGACTACTGGCAGCGGACCAAGCATCCAGCAGAGCATTTTATATTTCTAAAAAATATAGTTAACAAAGTTGACCAGGGTTGTAGTGAAGTGAAAGCTTACGATAAAATAATTCGGTGAAATATTATGAGTGCTGTTGAAACATGATGAGGAGGAGGATATATTAGGGTATACACTTATGAAAAGTTAATTTGTGGAAATATTATGAGTAACTGTTTATATTGATGATGAGGTTACCGGAGTACGTAGAGACCATGTGGTAAATATCTGGGGCATTTGCACAATTAAAGTACCATAAAATGAATATAAGACAAGATGGGTCTGACTTGGAATCAGAAATGATATTATAAAGAAACTAGCTTTACCCATCCGGTTCGCAGGGCATTTAAAATTAACATTATTATTTCTCACCCCCACAAAGATTCTCATCATAAACGCCCCCGCAACTGGTGTAGGGAGTCCAAAACTCATATAAATAATAGCCTATCCATTAAGTACATGTATTTAGTACATNGGTTCGCAGGGCATTTAAAATTAACATTATTATTTCTCACCCCCACAAAGATTCTCATCATAAACGCCCCCGCAACTGGTGTAGGGAGTCCAAAACTCATATAAATAATAGCCTATCCATTAAGTACATGTAATTTGTACATGTATACCAAGTTTCAAGTCAATCGGATGCATGGTTCAGTAGTTATAACGGTATATAACTACTGAACCATAAACTTCCGTAAAAAAACACTGTATATTAGTATATAATATTATGTCTGCTCTTCCACTTGCTACCACACCATACGTTCGTATCTCCGGATGTGCTCTCGTTGCGTCAGTATAGAGCAGTGATTCTCAACCTTTTTTTTGTTGCGGCACATATTAAACGATTTCAAAATTTGGCGGCACATAAAAAAAAAAAGATATAAATTATTTACTTACTACAACACACTGCTTAAATAGTTTATCAAAAAATTTAAATATACGAAATAAACTAAAATATACTATAATTTTTTTTGTGGATTTTAATATATATTCATGTTTAATATATTTTTCTTTTAAAATGATATAATTTAATAATATTAACATTATTATATATACGCAAAATTTGGCGACACACTTTTGAAATTAGGCGGCACACAAAAGTGCCGCGGAACAGTGGTTGAGAATCACTGGTATAGAGCATAGTCTGTTGATTCGCGTGTATACGTAATAATAATATATTATTATACTCTATTTATTAAAGCCTTATTAAATATACAATATTAAAAAAAAATTATAAATACCATTTAAAAAAATACTTAAAAAAATAGATTGCTATTACATATTTTTTCTTAACTTTTATTTCTCTCCTATCGGACCGAAACACATGGCTGTACCACGACAAAAATATTTAGGCTAGTGGAACCTACGCGTATCCCTGATAAATTTTATACAATATAATGGGTTTTGTTATAAAGGGCACGAAGGGATGTCACGCTCAGGTTCGACTCCAACACCAATAATAATAAAAAAATACCTTAGATTTATCCAAATTCAGGTTAATCTTCTGCCAATAGTAAAACAGGTATCCTGCACCCATCCCCAGGATGTAACTGGGTATATTGGTGTGACTTCGTCTGTAGACTTTTAAGAACGTCGGGTCTCCCATGAATTGGTTCCGAATGTGTCTGACAGATGGAACAATAATACTATTGGGTAACGGGAAATCATTGCGTATGGTTTCATTTGATCTATATTGGTTTTAATTTGGTTTAAAAGTTAATGGGCAGATTGGGGAAGAGAGAGAGAGAGAGAGAGAGAGAGAGTAAGAGAAAGTTTGGTCAGAAATGTCCTCAAATATGAACTTAATTTTTACTTTTATTATTCCAAAAGAAGTTCCGATAATTAACACACTTACTCAGGAGTGACAATAACGGTGCCATCTAAGTTTTCTAAATACGTGTGAGCGGCTACTATGGCGATGCCTATAAAGAAAAAAGTGGGGAGAACTATCTTCCTAGACCTCGGAGTTCGGCAGGCCAGATAGATGATTAATCCGAAAATGAACAGCTGTATATCAGCGGCTATGTACCTGCAAGTGTAATTCATTTTCAGCCCACTGCCCATCTGTATGCTTGCGAGATTCTTAAAGTTCTCGATAGCGTAAAAGTTAACCCAATTTCGTATGCAGTTGTGAGTCGTCGTGGCCTAATGAATAGGATGTCCGTTGCATTCGTGTCGAGCGATGCAGCGGTGTTCGAATCTCTGGCGGGTACCAATTTTTTTAATAAATTACGTTCTCAAAAAATGTTCACGATTGACTTCCAACATATTGAATAACATCGTGTAATAAAAAAATCAAATTATAATCTGCGTAATTACTGCTGGTAGGACACTCTTGTGAGTCCGCGCGGGTAGGTACCACCACCTTGCCTATTCCTGCCGTGAAGCAGTGATGCGTTTCGGTTTGAAGGGTCGGGCAGCCGTTGTAACTATACTTGAGACCTTGGAACTTATATCTCAAGGTGGGTGGCGTATCTACGTTGTAGACGTCTATGGGTTCCAGTAACCACTTAAACCAGGTGGGCTGTGAGTTCATCCACACATCTAAGCAATAAAAAAAAATATTGTTATTAATAATTGTAAGTTTCATAAGTCTAAAACAGATGGCGCCTTAAATCAGGTTTTACAGACAACACAATTTAATGGCATAAACACCACTTGTTGCTGAGGCTAAAGTATAAGTGAAATTTATTTCGTAGTAAACGCATCACAGTGAAATCCAATTGTTCTTACTTTATCAATTTTTGGTATTAGCATGGCCGGCCACGTGTTATTTAGAAACAAAAACCTTAGCCACAGCAACGTGTGGCCGGGTCTGCTAGTATTTTTAATAAAATGAATGTACCAAGATTGTATCAAGCAGTCTGAATTGTTAATGTAGTTGTGGATGTACAAGAGATGTTGCCACCAATATTTTCTGCAATCACGTATTTCGGACCCGGCGACCTCCTGCGATGAAATTATTAAAATTCTAATAATATATTCGGTAAGATTCATAGCTTTGCTGAGTTCTGACTCATCCCAGGATCGTGTGAGGTTTGTTGAGAAATAGTGGGTTTAAGCCGGTACAACCACGACATGCCCCGTCTACTACCTCCAATACGTAGACAGAACTCAGACGATTCATCTCTGGCCCAAACAAAGAATATCATAGCCGAGTTACACGTGGCAAATATTCATTCATTTAAAAAATGTACATTATTTTGTAAAATTGTCGACTCCGCGTTTTTAATTTTAAAGTTGCTTTGTCCTGAGTATGTCACCGTGATTACGCATTGAATACAACCGAAACAATACAAGCGATAACCGACGACTCTACGACGGCCCTCACGGTACGGCTGTCCACAAGGCCACCTTAGGCGATGCCTTTGTGTTCCAGAATACCCCTTGAGACCACAAACTGCCTGCCGAACATTGGGGCAGGATACATTGCCGCCTGGTCGCTTGTCCACAGCAGATCCATAGAACAGCAGCTATGTAGAACTGACATGCGGCTATTGCTGGTAGCGGGCCGCGTGGCCTGATAATCTCGTAACCCTCACCGGGCAGGGAACGCTTCCTACAGCCCCTGACGCATTCGACATCGTAATAGGAGAGTTCACAGAATTCATGAAGTTACAATATGGAGTAAGGCTAAAGCCAAATGACCTTATTCGAATAAAAAGTTAATAAAGAATTAGAATTCGATTTGATTCTCTAACACTTACAGGCCAGAATGGTCCTGAAGCGACATGTCTGAACCAAGTCGAGGTCAGCGCCAATATTACGGCATACGGCGGTGTAAGCCTGGAAAATATAAAATTACAAGCTATAATGGTAAATTATGAGAAATGTCACGTGTGTTCAAAAATAGAACTTAACTATTTCCACCGTATGATGAAGAACTATTATTGCCTTTTTCTTTGACTAGACGTTTTTGATCTTGGACTGGTTTGATTCCGCGTAAATCGGAATGTGTCCACAATTATAAAGCATCGCATGTAAATATACCATCTGACTAGCGTGTTTGTCAGGGCGTCTAACATTTTTCAAACACGTGTTAAAAGTGGCATTGACTGCGCATATTGATTTTGTCGTGCTAGACTCATGATGGAATATAATCATCTTTTTAGCGTCTCAGGAAACGGAATATTTTTCCCACGTGAAGGTTAGTTAGTGGTTAAGAGTGATTCTCCGATCTCAAAATTTTCGATGTCTTGAGGTTTATTTTTGTAACTAACTGACGAATCAGTCTGCAATTAATTTTAAAACATACCTCAGACTATTGCCTATCTTGCACAAGTTAACTTTTTTTAATAATATTTATTTAAATATTTCAAAAAAATATTTAAAAGTAGTTCTTCTGACTAATATGGTGTGTCCGTAACCCAGTTTCTTGAACATTAGTAACAATAACATTATTTCTTATTCATAAATTGATGTCAATTATAATTATTACGAAAGAATATTAGATGTTTCTTTACACCAAAAAAAAATGGTACTAACATTTACGATGGTTTATTTATAAATGAAAAAATAATTGTCCGGCACAAAAGTCTGATTCATATTCACGCGCTTCACTCGAACGTACCCAGCTAAATACGAAACATCAGGCGACCCCTCCCCGCGCTGGCGGTAGCCAGTGGCTCAGCTGACGTGGTCGCGACGTGACGTGTGGCTGGTTTGTGTCGTCGCGGAGATATAAAGGTAAATATTTGATTCATATAGCCTTGGTACACCTGTGTTTCTGATTAGTATTTTCGTTTTTATAATTAAGGTAAATGGTTTTCAAACTTGAATCTGCGGGAAATATAATGCCATTGGGGAACAGAAACCTATGTATAAATAACAATCCTTAATTGCATACGTGTGATGATTTATCGATGTTAATGGGCAAAATTCTGATTGATATGTGTCTGATTCATACGGTAAAATACCATATTAATCAGAATAACACACATATTCTTAATGAAACGTTACATTGGTGGCACGTTGCGCCTGTAACAAGTCATTTCATATGAACCTAATGTTATTTACATGTCTAAAAAGAGTAGCTGTAAATTTCGCAGCAGTCGTAATAACGTCAAATATTGTGATAATTGATATTGTCAAGTATATCCATCGCCATATCATGCTGTGATTGACTAAATTTAGATGTTATGATAAGCATCGTGTGCATTTACTGTGATTTTAATAAATAATTGACTGATTTTTCTAACTAGAATTTCATTTCTATCCCTAATTCTGATTCATATGGCCCCAAAAAATTTAAATTGAATTATCTCGGATACCATTTTATCAAAAAGTGTGCCCTTTTCAGACATTGCATCTTAGGTTATCATCTTTCGTAAAATATGTTTTATAAGCTTAAATGTGAAAAAAATTAGGCCATATGAATCAGACAAAGAACGCCATTTCGGAGAAACACTCTTAACATCACTCATAGATGTTAACAAGGCTAGTGTGGTAAACAAGCACAAAAGCAGTTAGCTGTTAGGTCTTAAGTTCAAGTTGTGGTTGATTGCTGATTTTTGCAACAAGATGGCATTTGTAGAAAAAGAATATACAACTGCAGCAGCAGCGGTAGGCAGCGGCTTGGCTCTCCCCCTGGCATTGCTGAAGTCCATGGGCGACGGTAAGCACTCACCGTGTGGCCGTATGCCCGTCTGCCTACAAAGGCAATAAAAAAAAAACATGCGTCTGTACGAGATGGTAACGCCACGTGCTCAGTATTTATTTTACGAAGACAGACTAGTAGTGTAGCCTGCAGACTACAGCTATCGGCTGCCGTGTGTTATAGTTGTTGGGACCATACCTTTGGAATACTTGGTCAAAGCTATCACCATTTTAGTTTATTTTATTCTACTCCATCACTGGCAGTAGGCAAGTCTCAATTCAAGAACAAAACAGGCTTACCGCAACCATCTCTCTAAAGTCCGTTTTGGTAAATTTTTCCAGGTAATTTCATTACTTTCATCAGATATTTGCTGGTTGTATATGAACAGGAATCCCGATATTACAATAAAAATCTGCATTATAAAGGTAGCGTTGAACAGTAGATGGTAGTAAATATTGTCAAACCACTGCAAATGGAAACACTATTATAGTAGAAAACTGAACAATGCTTGCGATCATTTAAAAAAAGACTAAACACGTATAGATAGCTCATAGACATCTACAAACTAAATGCGCCAGCCACCTTCTGAGGTCTCAGTATAGTAATCACAGTAATCACTTAACACCAGGTGGGCTGTGAGCTCGACCACCTAATCTAAGCAATAAAAAATATATAATAAAACAGACCTGCTCCAAATATCTAGGATTATCGTTACACACGAAGACTGGGAAGCTCGTGTGCATCAATATCACCAAACACATTAATACACTCCTGAAAAGTGAAGCGATAAAATTAGAATTATTTCCTATATCTCGTATGAACGCATATATTCCGAAAAGTTTTCGATGAATTATTATAATACAATCAAACGATGTTGCAGTATTTTGAATAAGAACAAAGTTCTGGATGCGAATATCCATAAGCACTAAATTTAAGCAAAGCTGTTAATTTTCTTTCTGCTAAAGATATTGCCGGTTTGCCTCGGACCATCTGTACTACTATACACTCTCTCTGATACTTTTACTCTGCTTACATCCGCTACGAGACAATCTCGTGTTGCGCATTGAAGAGTGGTATGCTTTTTAATTATATTGGCATTTAAACGCATGTTCCAAGGACTATAGTTTGTGGGCTTGGACAGAAACAGAAATGGCGTTCATGAGGCTTAGTGACCATTCACTATTGGTTGGGCGGTAGAGTTATCTATCTATGAAAGCAATGAGAACAGTATCCATCAGTGGGGTAGAGCACCAATATACATACATATATATCACTAATAAAAACAACAAGTAGGATAGGATTTGAAATTAGATTTACCTTAAACCGTTCAAACATTTCAGTGGACGAAGCCGCGGGTTGGTCTCGTCAAATGGCTCCATCAGCCTACGCCAGTTGCATCGTATTGAAAAATAGTGGTACCATTCCGTGTCTGAAATAAGTATGTCAGAGGAAGTGTGAAAGTAGCCCCGGTAATTAACGGAGAATTAAAGAGCGGACGGTTAGCAACTTACTTTTATTATTTTCATCACCGAAGTATAAATCACAAAAACTTGCAACGACGTTCAGTAGAATTAAAATAAGACACGCGATGCCAACAATTGCGTCACCGATATCCAACTTGAAATCTTCCTTCTCATTGGAACACGATATATCGGTGATTTTTGTTCTCAAGCGATGCTCGGACCAAAACGATTCGTTGAGACGGGCCTCAACGCTCTGTTTCAGGTCCCACGTTGAAATATTTGTTTGGTTACGATTATCAGACAAGCACACACCGTAGAAAAGCTTAGAATGATTGTAATGTTTCACGGTGTGCTTGNGATATATCGGTGATTTTTGTTCTCAAGCGATGCTCGGACCAAAACGATTCGTTGAGACGGGCCTCAACGCTCTGTTTCAGGTCCCACGTTGAAATATTTGTTTGGTTACGATTATCAGACAAGCACACACCGTAGAAAAGCTTAGAATGATTGTAATGTTTCACGGTGTGCTTGGAAAATTCCTGAAAAATACACTCACAATTTAGTTGCATGTGATTTATCTTTAGAAAGCCATTTATTTTAAAAGTATTGATCTTATTGAATTTCTTTCTTCATCTTTAAAGATATCGCGCACTTGGTAGCTTTTAACTTCATAACTATTCAAATATTTGTCCAAATCAATTAGTGTAAAATACAAAGTTTAACTACTTTAAAATACCAGATCCGATAAAAGTTTTTCATATAAGAATCAATTTGCTACTATCAAATGTGCGTTACAAATAAATTATCAATTTTTATTGTATTTATGGCTCATTATTTTAGCGATAATGGTTTATACATAAAATATTGACATATGCTGTCGTGGACTTTTTTGTAGGACTATTTATGTTAAACATTTCCAGTATACATTATATGCGTGTAACTCCAACGATTTTTGCAGCGCACGCTAGAATAGCCCGCAAATGGCAGATTTTTTCCTACTTACCTACTTGACAATTAACATTATATTTTGGGTAATTCTCACAATATCTTTATAAACTATAGCCTATGTGTTATTCTGATTTGTAAGCTATATTATTGTAAGGTTTCACCAAAAACCATCCAATAGTTTTTGCGTGAAAGAGTAACCAACATACATCCATTCTTACAAACTTTCACATTGATATTACATATTATTATTATTATTAGTAGGATAAATCACCAAAAGGTTAATACGGTCTTAAGTCTGTCTTAATTATGTTGTTATATTTTACTCACAACTATCATATCATAAACGGGGTTTGGCGTAGTCTTTATAATTTCAAATTTGGTAGTACAGTATATCCCTTCTGGCTTGCTCAAGCATTCTTCGTAATTGTCAAATTTGAATAACGCTGGCATACGTTGGTAATCGGTTTCTGAAAGCAAACAATCATTACGAAACACCACTCCTGTTAACTTGTATTATAAATGGTGCGCAAGACATCAGGAGAGAATGCGGGTGCCAATAGGCTATAAGGATTGACGCCGCAGCGAATATGAAACACGTCTTAACTATTCAAATACTTATTTATTACTGTCTTAATCTTATTACACCACAGGGTTGAGGGCTGATGTAGTTGAATTAATTATTAATATTTTCAAGTAAATAGGATATCTATTTTAATTGATTAGAGGAGCCGTAGTACCAGTGAGCCACTGCGGAAGGCCGCACTCATAAAGCCGGGACCAGAATCGACAGTATCGGTTCGAAACAACTGTACCCCATGGAGACCATTCTTAATCGGCCAACGCAATTATCTCATCGGAAACCGCTTCACAAGCAAGATATTCCCTGGCCTGGTACCTCATATCCAGTACCACCTCTGTCGTTCGAACGCCAACGTGCTATGGAAGATCGAAAATGAGCTACTTCAGAGCCATCGTCAACGGGAAACGACCGGCATCAAGAAACTATACAACTCATTCTTCGTTCTATTTTAACCGAACACTATAATATTGTTGACACGCTTTCATAATCGCTTCATCATTCATTACTCATTCAGTGTCTTTAAACGCGGGCGCTATGGCCCGATTGTGATGGAATGTAATGACTTTACAATGCATGACGTTCGTAAAGAGGAGTCTGGCTGGGTATCTACAGTTAGACTTATGGTCTTTCTCTTTGTCTAGACTATGGTCTATAGTCTCTTATGTATCTCGAGGAGAGGGAGGGCAGGAAAAGGGAAATGAGCCGAGATGGCAGCGAAGATCAGAAGAAAGTGCCACCGAAGAAGATCATGAGCGAGTTCATTGATAATGCAATCTAATTGTTCTGTACGTGGATACTAATAAAATTATGATATACATATAAAGACAATATATTACAAGTATTGTAAAATTTAACCAAAAAAACAATGCTCTTCAATGTATTAGTATTATTTCCGGATTGTCTTGCTGTAATCTAGGTGGAGATATGAGCACTAAAGAATTAATGAGATAAATTTCTGTTTGCTGTCCGAAAAGTTAATTTTGGAAGGCAGCTAATAATTNATGCAATCTAATTGTTCTGTACGTGGATACTAATAAAATTATGATATACATATAAAGACAATATATTACAAGTATTGTAAAATTTAACCAAAAAAACAATGCTCTTCAATGTATTAGTATTATTTCCGGATTGTCTTGCTGTAATCTAGGTGGAGATATGAGCACTAAAGAATTAATGAGATAAATTTCTGTTTGCTGTCCGAAAAGTTAATTTTGGAAGGCAGCTAATAAATACCCCAAACGATTTACCAGATAACAAGCACCTGCATCACACGGGCTCTGCAGGAAAACAACTCACCATTCAATTTATAAATAACACCATAACTCTCACCAAAAATAAAAAGTAATAAGAAAATATTCAACATTTTACTTGACATGTTTCGAAAACGCTTATAGCATGTCGAGTGTAGTATTGAAATGATACGAGTCTTTTTATTCTACATCTTAGCTTCCAGATTTAGTCTTTTTATTTTATCTTATACACATACATGTTTATTCTTGAGTTCCGTATGTACCAAGAAAATAGTATAGAAGCTTACTTGAACCGTCCGATGCTCGTTCGTTTCAAGTTTATTATTATTATTGACTTCGAAGGCATTACATGGCCACGTGATGGTGAGAGGCAACCGTCGCTTGTGGACATCGCGAATGAGGGAGGCAACACAGGAACGGAAATCAAAGGAAGTGTATGAACACGTTGTTCAATAATCATAATGAAGTAGGCGGGTACTCTGTTACTTCCACTAGATCTATTAGTAACTCTACTCACTTCCACTGTTTGTAATATTAGTAGCTGATCCTAATTAATTTAACTCTATCATTGATTTTAAATTAGGATTTTGTTACGCCGGTAAGAGTAACGCCATCTATCACTAAATAGTCGAACGAATATCGAAGGATTTAGTAACATCTAGAACGCTCGAGGGGTACAACGCCATCTATTGTCAGATAGCGGAAATACAATACTCGACTTGTGTGGAATTATCTCGATAATTCTAGGGATGTGGTATCGGCTACAAAAGCGTTGCAGAGATGGCATGCAGTCAGTTAGTGATCGGAACTACTCGAAGCGAAACAGCGAACGGATCACCTGAAGCGAAACGGAAGAAGCGTATTGAGAATTTTGAAATGTTTGTGAAGTGCTTTAAGTGTTCTAAGTGCTATTACAGTTTCAAGTTGTACCCCGGTAGAATTTTTATTTATCCCGAACCCCAGCGCGTAACAATATCTTAATCAAGCCAATATCTGCATAATTTGTTCTTTGTGCTATTTCAAAATATCAAATCAGAGGATCCTGTGCGACTCTATGCAAACTCTACCTCCTAGAGCGGGTAGCGATTTACTTCTCCTCCTATTTACTATTTTGTGTAGGTACTATTAGTAGAGCATGCTGTGGGTTTCCCAGGAATGTGAATATTTGTTCAAATTTTTCGGAATTTCCGTAAGTTAGAGACTCAAAAAAATAATCGTTCGCGTAGTAAGCAACTTGCAATTGTACATATTATGTTTGAATATTTACATCAGGTGTTAGTATAAAACAAAACACTAACGTATTGTTTCATCATTTGAATCATCCAATCGTCCAATCTATCACGTGCTGTGTGTATGCGAATGTTGAACGTAGACTATCTGGTACAGTAACCAGTAACTCCGCCACCTATCCACTAGTGTCTAAATGGACGATAATGGCCGAGCGTTCATCCCTACGAATTGGATCTGCTATGTTCATGCACACTCACGCCTTTGTAAAGATCATTTGACCACGTTCTAATCTCTGGTTGATACTATAGGATACGACGAAGACTGAATCTGGGCCTGTAACATGGTGCAGTAAAAACTGTCGTCTGAATATTACATTACATTAAGTACTTGATCTCTTTTTCAAAACACAGATTGCTTGATTGTTTTGAAGTATGATGTGGTTTACATAATTTATTTTATTTGGTATCTATGTATTTTGTATGTATATATACGTATCTTATTATCTTATATTATGTATGTATATCTATGTATTCTTTAATTATCCCCATGCATTAACTTTATCACAGCTACCCACTTTATGAATCTTTCACTTCATCAACGAGGGTTAACTGGAAGATAATGCCTGCATGGCGTTAAGTTTGCCTCTGTAAAATGTTTTTGTGTGATAAATAATTTTCAATCAATCAATCAACATTAAAGTGAATGGCAATTCGGATAGTCCAGGGAGTCCTAGAGTGGCAACTAAATGAAGCAGTCATCATAGGATGATTTCTGTAACAACTATAACTTTATTACATCTTTCCTCTTGTTACAACTTCAAAATAAGGATTTAGCTTACACTGGCAGACCCGGCCACACGTTGCTGTGGCTAAGGCTTTTGTTTCTAAATAACACGTGGCCGGCTATGCTAATACCAAAAATTGATAAAGTAAGAACGATTGGATTTCATTATATTGCGTTTACTACGAAATAAATTTCACTTATACTTTAGCCTCAGCAACACGTGGTGTTTGTGCCATTAAATTGTAGCTTATGTGAAACGTTGGTATTTTTAACACAGCGCCATCTATGGGATATTAATGTCAGACACTATTACAATTGTCTGTAAAACCTGATTTAAGGCGCCATCTGTTTTAGACTTATGAAGCTTACAATTAATAAAAATAATCAACATAAGAAATAATTTTATTGTTAATTAATAACTATTGCGACCATTAGTCGAAATAAAAACCATTCTATAGCCTAAGTTGTAACAAAATACATATTAAAAAAAAAAGTTAAATTCGGTTCAGTAGTTTAGGTGTCCATCGCGGACAAACAACGTGACACGTTATTTATATATATGTATTTAGAAGATTAAGATTAGAGTTTTTAATAAGTTGCAAGCTTTTTGTTCCCACGACAAAATTATAATACTATTGTTGAAATTCAAATTGAAACAATTGCGAAGTTTTGGAAACTTCTTTTAAACGTAAAAATAAGTTAAAAGTTAACAAAATAGCAACCCACTGAAGATCCCAGCAGAAAACTGGCATGGCAATAACTACTGTTACGATATTGTTTCGTTTTCCGATGTATCTTTCCAACTTCCTTGGTCGCGGACAACCATCTCGAACCCAATCTGATTTTCTCGATTTTATGTAACATAACATCAAAGTATGTAATAAAACCGGTTCAGTGTGTATGTACATTGAAAAGAGGTACTCAATAAGTGCTAACTCAACTAAATGCTAGAAGAGAATTCTGATTTATACATATTATATCCTGTTTGTGTGTTTGCGCACATGTCCTTAACGATTGGAGAGAGTTACGTATTTAGTGTGCTGAACATAAATTAATTAAAATCATAATTTTGATTGTTTTATTTTATTTTTCTTATTGCTTAGTTGGGTGGACGAGCTCACAGCCCACCTGGTGTTAAGTGGTTACTGGAGCCCATAGACATCTACAACGTAAATGGGCCACCCACCTTGAGATATAAGTTCTAAGGTGTCAAGTATAGTTACAACGGCTGCCCCACCCTCCCAACCGAAACGCATTACTGCTTCACGGCAGAAATAGGCAGGGTGGTGGTACTTACCCTGCGCGGGCTCACAATACCACCAGTATTTGCATGTTAGTTTGTTTTGGATGGCGCTAAAATTGTTGTTGACTCAATTATTTATATAAAGTTAGATACTCTTCAACTACAAGATCCAACAGAACCGTGAACCCAAAATTTTCATTGATTTATTGTTTTAATTTATAAGTGACACTTATTTACTTTTACAATAAACATACATACATAATACACAATAATACTTTTTAAGGTCAGATATAAATAATATTTCCAAAAAATAAGCATGACGCGGGAGTGAGCTGATTTTTTACAAATAAACTTGGCTGACCTTGCTGCGAAAATATTAAGATACGAATACAAAGAAAACAAGTAGACTAAGTTTGTTTAAATAGATTTTCTCAGGATTATGCGAGAATAGCTAACAGACTTTATGTAAAATGTCTGTTTTCAACCTGTTAGGAAGGTTATAAATTTTCATTCATTTATACTTTACTAGAGGTCCCGCAGTAGTCGAAATTCGACTATAATTAATTGGAATTATAAGTTTGTACACTATTATGATTGTATTTTATACTTCTGTAATAACAAATTTCGCCAAGACTACACTATAAAAAATATTAACAAAGACAAACAATATTTAATCTCAATTTGACAACGGACGTCAAGAACAAAAGTTTGACAATAAATAGTATGCATGCGTGTGTGTGTCAAATACATGGTATGTAGTGTGTGTAATGTTTTCTTTATTGATTTAATGTATCTTTTATGCATTATTTAAAAAAAATATTAGCATTGTGCACTTCTTCTCTATATTCTCTATAAGTGTGGAAAATTTCATACTCCTCCGTCCGCGCAATTTTCGTAAAAAGGGATACAAAGTTTTTGCTTCACGTATTAATATATAGATTATTCATAAAAATACACACGAACACAAATAAACTCAATACACGGTGAAGTCATGTTTTCTGATCTGAAGGGTGGGATGTCAACGATACAGTTGTCATCATGTCCGAGACGTTATGTCTCGGTGTGCGTGGGTGGGAATATTCTCGCGTGATGTCTATGCGGTCCGTTAGCCACTCTACAAAACGCGGGCCGAGAACTTCTCTACCTATCTAAGGACGTAATAGGAAACCGGGTGATAATAAGCCATGTTCCCCGACCGCTCCAGGGGAAGGTACGTGGTGGCGCCATCAAGGCATCTTCTGGTCATTTTTATGTTAAGATTGAAGTATTACTGGTGGCCCGGAGGCCTTTCCAGTTTCACTAGGACAGGTGGGTGAGCAAAGGCTCGAGCAAAGGAGGAGTGGGATTTGCTAACAGCTGCTCGAGCGCCTCCGAAGACCTAACAACTCAAAAGCAGCTGTTTCGCGAATGAATCTGCTACCGGATCGGAATCGCGACCCGCTGAGAAGATCCTGCGAGATACTCAGCTGATGCCTGGGTTAGGTTGCACGTCGAACTCTTTGTCGAGTTCGACGAGTACGGGTACCGGGGTTCCTAAGCCTGCTCCTAGTGTTAGAGCTGAAGGCGTCTAATGCAAGGATTACTGGATCTGATGGATCCGTAAGGACGTGTCTAGGGCGGCGACGATGATTGGCTCCTGCCTCTCGGCCCGTCGATCGAGGGAGCCGGTGGTCTTGACGGCGGAATGGATGTAATATTCTTCTATGGTATCGTAAACAATGTTAAATTTTACTTAATTTTTTAAATATCAAACTTAAGCGCTTGTTGATTCCTCTTCGATTTTTAATTGCTATTCAAGTTGAAACATTGAAAGTGCCAATAGACATGTTCGAATAAAAAACTTTTTGAATTGATACATTTTTTTGCATTTACCCGTTTTTCATTCTAACTAATACTAGCCCTTGGAATGATTATGTCGATTTTGCTCATTACTTAGCCAGAAAAGTCTATAAAAGATAAAAGTAATAAAAGTTACTATTATTTACCGGTCACCGTCCTCGTCGAACCCGTCGCTTGCGACGAAGGGCTCGACGAGCGAACTAACCCATAGACACAGCCCACTGAGTTTCT